CTACCATGGTCGAATGTACTGTTACATGCATTATGATATGATGTACCATGTTTTGCTGTCAGTGTACCACTGATTCCAGGTTGAATATATCCTCAATAACATCATTATTGAACGCCACAATCAGCAATATTTCATATATTTGACGGCGGTTTGCGATGGTAGCCATAGGACGAATCTGTTAGAATATGCAAGGTACCGCCGTGATATTGCTGGAATATTGCTAAAAGCGGCGTAAAACCATACAAATACAATACAAAAACAAGCACAGGTTGCTAGATAACTCAAATATATGCATCCCCAGAAATGCCAAAGGGCTCGTAAGGCAACTATACATATAATCATGGTCGGTCTCTGTGGATGGTCAAGCCAGGAAGGTTAACAGGACATCTCTGCTGTCTGCGGCGTTAAACAACATTCACTCAGTTTGAGTCAGTTTGACGCTGTACACGATACACGCAAATAAACTGAGGGTAACAAAAAAGGTAACATAGGAAAGTGCAAGTGTTCATTCTTTTCCAGATTTCGTCACAAGCTTTGCATTGCATTGTGGGTGAAAATCTGAGAATAAGTACACATTAATTTAGTTGTAAGTGACTCATCTCAATACGGGGAATCACCAAGTGAAACCTACGAATATAATCAGCAAGAATCTGTAATTCGGATCCGGGCACGAATAAGGGAGGAAACTCATTACAGGGAAATATGCTGCCTCAGACGACGATAGTCGGACGATGTAGAAGCGAGAACCGATGGGCATGCATGTCAACGAGACGATGAGCGAAAATTTGGTGATTAATCGTGCTTGTCACTGACACAGACGGGTACTAGTACTTCACTAGTGTCTGTATATACTGCCTCTGCCGGAAACACAGGACGGGCGCGTATTGAACTTGACACTTCTACTGGACGGCGAGTCGGAGTATATTACGGTTATGCAATTGGTGGTACAATGTCGACCTATATAGCCTGTCACTCTACAGGTTAACCTTTAGACATATCAAGGCTTAATGATGACGTATGCACCCATGTTATACTGACCGATATATGTGGAAGGCGTGCTGAAGGTCAAATTTTCGCAAACACGAACTTTGGTATGACTGGTCTATGAACCTACTAGTTCCTGGAGCAATCTAGAGAATCTGATTAAATTCAAGTAAAACAAGACGAAGTTGAAGAGTGGTGCAATGCACAATGAGTGAGTGAGTGAGTTTAGTTTTACGCCGCACTCAGCAATATCCCAGCTATATGGCGGCGGTCTGTAAATAATCGAGTCTGGACCAGACAATCCAGTGATCAACAGCATGAGCATCGATCTGCGCAATTGGGAACCGATGACATGTGTCAACCAAGTCAGCGAGCCTGACCACCCGATCCCGTTAGTCGCCTTTTACGACAAGCATAGTCGCCTTTTATGGCAAGCACATGGGTTGCTGAAGACCTATTCTACCCCGGATCTTCACGGGTCGGTGCAATGCACAAATTTAAAACTGTTAAATCTGCAGTAGAAGCGGTGATAGACTACACATAATCCCATTCAACCCAACGATCCAAAACACTAACGATATATTTGATCGCTCTTCTTAAAGGATAAAGTGTTTATGTAATTATTTGCAGCAATCCGCAAAGGTCCTGGTTAGGGACAGTTCATAATATATCGCTTGGGGTGGGTGGTGTGGTGTGGTGATGATGATTTTATGGAGAATCATGTACAATGTACAATGAACTGAGTTTGGTTTTACGCCCTTTTCAATATTCCGTAAAATGTCACACATGTGCCCACGAACCCGGGTCTTCGTCGTGAAAATAAATAGGCTACCCCACCGCCCCCTGCATGTACAAAATAAATGACCCCCTGCTTGTCATGTACAAAATCAATTTTAAAGCATTATTTTAAACATATTTTTATGTACAAAATTGCTGACCACCCTCCCCCGCCCAAGTACGCGTGTACAAAATTGCTGACCCCCAGTACGTGTGTAAAAATCCTACAAAACTGCTGGCCCCCTAGTACGTGTGTACAAAATTGATGACACCCCCACCCACCCACGCACCCCTCGTTCGCCAGAACAAAAATGGTGACAACATCACTCCGAGCCATACATTATAAACCGTCCCTTAGAATCGGTCTTCAGTAAACCATGCTTGCCATACGAGGCGACTGCTCGGGCTCACTAACTTATCTGTTGGGTTGTATTGCAGCTGCGCAGATCGATGCTCATGATGTCAGTCACAGGATTGTGTGGTTCAGACTCGATTATTTACAGACCACTGTCATAAAGGTGGAATATTGCGGAGTGTAGCGTAAACCAACAAACAAATGTATTTATGGATCGAATAAACTGCTTTCTTCACGGCATATGTACATTCCATACCCATCAAATACTCCCCTTTTAATACGAGCCGTCCATGTATTCTTTCCGTCAGTGATATTGTGGGTAAGCACTTTCTATATATGTGTCAAAGAAGACGTGTATGTTATGCATGTGCGCCACGCCCATTTATGTACGGTCAGTGATCCCATAGAAGCTGAACATTTGTATACAGAATATATAGCGGTGTACTTTCTTCCTTATGTACATGCATGTATGCATACATGCATGCGTACATAAGTATGTATGTGTGTGTGTGCACGGGGTTTACTTTCTTTAAACTATTTGAGAGAGAGAGAGAGTGCGTGCGTGTGTCTGTGTGTCTATAAACATTAAGTATATTTGAATCCGGAGTTGCCGCATAGCTACAGCAGTCTAGGCCGTTACTGCTGCACCGAGAATAACTTTACAAAGGCGCTGAAAGTGTAAGTAGGCAAGAATACGCCTTCATCTATTGACAGGCCATCAACGAAAGGACATTGAGATGCTTTCTCAGTTCCGCCCATGTGAGCGTTCGAAAACAGCAGCTCAAATTTCCTACTTCACGCAAGAATTATCGTTGTGACGGTGTCATGTTTCAAAATATCTTCACTTGATATGACTGTTTACATTAGGTGACATTAACGTATTGATTTTCATGATCATTAATATGTATGACGACTTACTGGGAGGGGCGGTTGTGTGATGCACATTTTCTCCTCCACCGCCATATATAGCTAGAATATTGCTGAGTGTGGCGTTAAACAACAATAAACAATACAACATCTTTTGTCCTCCGCCATGATATTGCTGGAATATTGTGGCGTAAAACTACACTCAGCCACTCAACATTCTTTTCTTGATTATACTGACCTCTAAACATTTCGCGTGTATGGGGAAGTTTGGAAATGCATTGAAAGTAGTTTGCTGTTGTAAAGATTATTTTTTCTCTAAACAAACACACCAACAAATAACTTGGTGAATAATTCCCAAAAGATATCACTCATGCTTTAATATGCATGCGGTCGATCTATTAATTATGCACCGTTTCATCAAAATGTATGTAAAGTGTGTGCGTGCGTGTATGTTACATAACAGCACATACTAGTACTCATTAATAATCCGCACTTTTATCCGGGTTATCACGATTGCTGCGGTGGAGTTGCCATACAAGAATACTTATGTGAAAAAAACGGATGCAATGAACGTTTCTATTCGCACTGTAATTTGGGGTCCGTGGCCGTCCGTCTCACCCAAACCTTTTCCTACACACGTGGCTCGTATCCATAAATGACTTTGGAGATATGCTTGGTTATATGGCAATCGTTTATCGATCGCAGAATTCTAAAAATAATACCTGTATTCCACATTGGTACGGAATAGATCCTTCTGTCGAATGACAGAGACAAGTGGGTGTATTTGCGTGACGAGCACTTGTTAGTGAACGCGGATTCTGATTGGTTGCGAGACCCGGATAACCTCGATGACGCCATCAATGGCGGAGTGATATGGTATATTCTTATGATGAAACTAGTACCCTTCTCGCTTACTGATGTCGTTGAAAGTACTGTTTTTTCATTTATCGGGTTAGCAATTATGAAAAGTACTTGCAGCTGGGCGATGACACTGTCATTTGCCTACTTTTCGAATAAAAAATGAATTATCATCCTAATTTGGTAGAAAATAAGAATGAGAATATTCTCCTAACAACATATGTCTCTCGTGGGAGCTTTTCTCGGACGAAGCGGAAGTAATTTCACAAGGATGACTGCGAACATATGTATTATTGTCCTTTTGTTGTGTTATTGAATTGGAAACTACTTCCATGTTACAATGAAGTAATTTAATAAAACTAGTTCCAAGAATACACCCTAACTGCATATTTAAGTGCCTGGACAGTTTCATTCAAGAGCTATTTGTAATATTTCTCAATATATACTAGTTATAGTTACAGACAATAATACACGAAAGAAAATTAAAAACTGTTGAAACAAACTTTCTTTTACAAATATATGTTCGTTAAATCAGAAATATTATAAGGCATTAATTTCTTTAGTTATGTATATATCCTCAATACTCCCCAAGTCAACCATTAATGGAGATTTACAAAAGGGAAGGCAGAGAAGGATAAGAAATAAACTGTTCGTATTTATCACAAAAAGGTTTGGTTTTAAGATATTTTGTCATATCCGCGATCACGAATACCCTTTAGTCTGAATTAAATACACGCTTTAGCTAAGTAAACACAATGAGAGGGTTATGTAACCACTCAGCGATTAATTAATCAGCTTAATTAGTGCTTGTTCAACTCCTGCAGTTTTCACAACACTAGCAGCTCGTGTCAGTAGCGCACAGTGTTCCTTAAATGCTTATTCCATTGTTTAACGGTGTGTTGTGTGTAAATTGTTATTTATCTTTGTATGCTTTCTAAATAAAATAAAGGCAGAAATAAAGTATATTTCAATAATAATTGTAATTTCCTTGTACATTTTACATTTGTTACAAGGGATACGTCTAAGTCTGATTTCTTTAGCCATTAAAAATTACAGATTTTCACAGGTTGCCTCCGTTTTCTGTGCACCAACAGACGTTTTGTGTTATTCGTCACTGAGAAACAGTTTCAAAGAAATTACTATTAAGGCTATTCCCGGAACTACTTGCGCAGAACCTCTCCACGGCGGCAGCCATCTTTGTAGATAAGTGAAGACGGTCAGCGGTAGAAGGCACCGGTCATTAACGGTTAGGGCGATATTTGGCAACACAAAACACATCTCAGCACCTGGTGCACACCCAGACACCGAGCATCTGCTGAAGCGCAATGACGCAGCTGCTTCCCATCCGATTTCAGGAGCATCTACAGGTGAGTCTGTCATACCGGTGGTGATGTCTCAGCGTTACACGCCCCTAATGATGGAAGCCAGGTGCAAATACACACATTGTCTAGGTTATAAATGTTACCAATCGCATTGTCATCTCTTTTAAGATGAAGTTAGATCATGTATGCAAACAATAATGCACCAATCTCTGGCATATAGTGGTCTTCTTATCTGTTCATTCTTCGCTGCGATCGGGTAAAATCGACTCGAGTGTTGATGACTTGGCAGTCGTGTGATTCCAAACCAGAAACCGGAAGACGATTTTGTGATTCAACCACACATATTTTTACGCATATAGTGCCACATGCACCTTTCCTGTTTAATAAAGACTGGTAATATAGGTACGTGGGTATGTATATTGGTATATTTTAGATGTTTACGCCCCCTTTCTGCACGTAGTTTTGATATAGGAATATTGTTCTCAGTGCAGCAGACGTGTAAGGGGCGTGAGTCACTAGTTATTTTTGTCAATTACAAAAATTACCGGTGTTTTAGTCTAAGATTGTTGATAAGGTGCTTTGAAGTGTCAGGCTAGTATAAGGCTGTCTGAATTCTTTTTCATATGTAGAATTTTACATATCAGCTATAGCCTATTGGTGTCAATGACATCCAACTCCACCCCTTCAACATGTACCTTGACCCATTCGTAATGTGTAATGTATTTACGTCTTCTTTGGTGTATGTAATTAGGTGATTCATAGAAACCTTTGCATTTTGTATAGTCTGTGAAGCCACTATATTCTGATATGTGTTTTTAGGACAGCTCTATAATTAAAGTAACAGTGATCAATCGTTTTGAAATTGTAATGGCATCAGTCTCACATCCATGTATGTATTAAAATTCTATGCATTATTGGTAACAAAGCAGTTGTTTGAATATAATTAAGTAATCTTGAAAGTTATCTTGAGTATTGTTCAATCTTTATACCATATCCACTCTCCTATCACATAGGTAAAACTGACAGCTTGTGGTTAGGTAACGATTATGTGATCAGTGTAAACAAGATGAGCTATCAATACCCTGTGTTGTTTGATCATTGAAACATGGTGCAGATTTTGGATGCCAAGGTCATATTCTTTATACACAAGTACTCAGGTGTTTTTATTAAATGCCGAAAGATGATAGAGAAACAACAAGACATCAACTTTTAACTATACAAAATATGTGTGCCTAATTTGGCCTCTTTATGTTTCAAAGACATTAAACTAAATTTATAGAGGTCACCAGTATTACCACATAGTGATTTCCTGTTAAGATTGTACTGGAAGTCCAGAAAACTTTGAGTACCTTTGTATGGTATGCTTGTATGATGATGTGTCATGTTAATATGCTGATTATGTAATGTGACATTATTGATCATTAGGTATCACCATATGAGAAGCCTAATGGTTAAAGCATTAGATCCAGAGGCCCAGATAAGCTGCGTATCCGGGTAAAATACGCATAGAAAATTTCGAATTACGCATTGAAAAATAATTGTTGCGTACCAATTACGCATTTAAACTGTTAGATACGCAAAGAGTTTAAAACAAATGCGTACGGAATATACTTATAAAAATCGCTTGCGTAATGAAAAAGACATCAATTGCTGTCAATTTGTACTGTTTGTATAGGACAAGTGTTGTACTGTCAGTATAGGATGACTGATTTTTTATGAAATCATTTCCCTTATATTAAAGTTGGTTTTGAGTAGGTATCACATAAGGCAGAACATACCTGCTTAGTAAACTTACTCAATGACACAATACTTAGGTGTGTAAAATGACTGAAATACGCACATATTTGAAAGCAGTGGGTAACGGAAAATGAAATACTCACTCAACATTCATAATACCCACTCCAAAAAAATACAGTGGGTACAGTACCCACATTAGCTAAATCTTATCTGGAGCTCTGAGATCATTAAGCCCTTGATTTGGTTCTGATTCCTCACATTATTACAGTTCATGAATGTGTTTTGTCCCTAACCAGGATAGTGCTAATATGTTGCTCAAAGTAGTGTTAATCGGTATTTATTTGTTGAATCTTTTACTGTCATTCAGGTCATTTGTTAGTTGTATATTTTGAAAGTCTGTTACACTCATGCATTGATGCTATAATCAGTTGTACTCCATGAATGTTAGTAAAAGGAAATACTTGAATCTTGTCTGTTAATGGTTTTTCATGGACAAGTTTTCTGACTTAACTTCCCAAGAACATGATGGGCATTATTTCTGTAGTTGACTATTTCAGGTGTAATCGTACAAGGAACCAAATGATGTTATAGAAAATAATCTGTCAGTTGAAGTGATTTCCCAGTTACAGGTATCCCATGACTATTAGCATTTCAGGCTTTAAGTTATTTAGGGAAGTCACAAAATATGTTCAAGTACCTGGAGAGCTGAAGATAGCCCCAGCAATTCATTCTTGTTGTAAGAGATGACAAAATGATCGTGTGGTCAGATGCACAGAGTTTTTAATGACACATCATTCCAACTGCAATTGCCTCCCATAATCCCAATTGTATGAAACAGTTCATTTCAATCACTGGATTGTTTGATCCAGATTGGATTATTTACAGAATCATCATATGGTGAGGGGGACAGTGGGGTAGCCTAGTGATTAAGGCTTTCGCTCGTCACGCCGAAGACCCGGGGTCGATTCCCCACATGGGCACATTGTGTGAAGCCCATTTCTGGTGTCCCCTGCCATGATATTGCTAGAATATTGCTGAAAGCAGCGTCAAACTAAACTCACTCATATGGTGAGAATATTGCCTGGTATAGTGCTAAACAACAATTAAATCAATATACTGTGAAGTCTTATACATGTTCAGGGTTTGCATTTAAGCCTGAGTGTCATGTTACACAGCTGACACAAATGTTGACTGATGTTGATATGCAGTCAAGACTGATATGGCCTACTGGGGTGAAGGGTCCTTTGCAGCCAATACAAACCACCTACCTTATGTATACCAGTGCATCATAATGTGTTATATATCCAGTATGTCTAACCATTTAAGAGAGCAAAGTGAACTCAATGGCTATCCAGCATCAGAAAACTATAGCGTGTACCAAACATGAATTCTTTGGTTTATCATCTTTTAGATTTGAGCACTCATCTTGAAAGTTAAAACGTAGCTGCTCTTGAAGGGGCTTTCCTGCTGATGATTTAGGGAAACAGCAGTTTGTGATGTGGATTACATAGATGCATAATGACAGCAGTTTGATAATATTGTATTATCTGTAAAAATGTTAAAGATGTCTTGAAATGTTAAACTCTACACAGGTAAAAGAACTCATGGATTTTTCAAGCATTATATAATATATTTACTTAATATGATCTGAGACCGCCTCCGTGGTGTAGTGGTTAGAGCGTCCATCCGGAGAGCGGAAGGTCGCGGGTTCGATCCCCGACCACGTCATACCAAAAGACGTTAAAATATTGTACTTGTTGGTCCCTGCCTGGCGCTCGGCATTAATGGGTACAACAAGGACTGGTCGGTTTGGAGTCAGTATAATGTGTCTGAGTGGGGTATTCCTGCTTCACTGCGGCATGGTATCTCAGTGGGCTAGCACTATAAAACCAGCTTCTGTCTGGGCTAGTACAAGCAGCCGCACATATACACGCATGCACGTCGTCATATGAGCAAAATATTCTCAAGTACGACGTTAAACCCAATTTCACCTCACCTAATAGGATCTGAATGACATGTTCATCACTAAAGCTGGCTTTATTCAACAGCTTGGATTTCGTGCCAATTCACAGAAAATGATGATCAGTGATGATTATTATCAAAAATGTTGCATATTCATCAAGTGATAAATAATGTATGTGGAATAAAGTGAATTGCTAATATCAACCAAATGAGATTAGTATCATGGTTACATCAAAACATTATTTGGAAGACCTTGTTATGCAATGTTATTTTAGTGCTTAGACATGTTTTTTCTTTAGATTTTTTAAAATAGTTGACAGATAATCATTTATCATGTTTAGTGGTAATATTGAATTTATTGGCAATGTTGGTTGGTTTGGTCAAATTGGCAGGAAAAATAATTTCTGGTTTCCATTTGTGAGTCTGTTCTGAAACATTAGCATGGAGCTATTTCTGATTATGTGCAGTGAAATGAAGTGTGAGTAAAGATTGGGGCTCCTCCCATCACATGGCCATCCTCATTAGAGTGGCTTACACAACATGGGTTCCCACACAACTGAAAGACAGTGAGCTTGTCAGTTTTAGAATGTCAATGTATTGATTAAGGACTATTGAGGAATAATGTATGATTAATGGCAGAGTGAGCAGATTTTGGGTCAAGTTAAGTGTAGTGAGATCAATAGCTACATGAATAGTTATCCACAAGTCGTAGCCATTCCATGCTGTGATAGAAATCCATTCTACACTCACATAATTAAGATAACCTGATAACCTGAGGAGAAGTATGTTATTTCTGTGTACTACAGGCTGGTCTCTGCATGGCTGTGTTGTAATGGCCAGCATTAGCACATCACTAAGTCAAGCTGTATGACATGGAAATAGGATCAATCGACCATCGTACACCTTGCATGTTCTAGTGGGTATAAAATATGTCTTACAATTCTTGGCTGTGAACGGTGGTTTTGTAACATAGCTATGATAGTAAAGGTTGATGCATGATTGATGTTTTATGGATTATTTTCATGGGATTTGTACAGCTTTTTGGATTTTAGATTTTGTTAGACCTTTTCCACTTCCATGTGGAATATCCATCTTAATGTTATTCTCTTTTCATTACTAGGTGAAAAAATATGACTAAACAGTGTTTTACCCACTCTCACCCCATTACTTGATCAGTCATGGAATGTTTGTGGTTGTGATGTTTAATCTGAAGGAAAAAGAAAGACTTGATATGACTTTGGTCATGGCCAATTTATTTTATTAGTTGTGGACTTGAACAAATTCAAATTCAATTTTCCCCTTCTAGTCGTAGATCAACGGTGTTGTATCTATTGTGGCCATTATAAGAAACATGTATTTTTAAAACTTGTTAAAAATCTTGAGAACATGTCATCAGGAAAGCACATAAATCTACATTAAGAGGTACTGTCAGTCTTTTCCCTTGTTTCGCAACAGTAATTTTCATGAGTAATTGATGTTGAATTATTTCTGACAATGATCATATGAAGGAATGAAGTTTCCAGTTGACTTTCACATAGAACACCAATGTCATGGTGCTTTCAGAAGTAATATTGACCATGTATTCTTTCAAGGTCCTTTTTACAATTAATCAATATCAATATTATAGACAGTTTTTCTCAGTTTTCTAAAGCTAACTGCATGAATGAGTAGGATAAGACCAAATAGTGTTGATTGTTCAGAGTAAAATAGTTTTGTTCTGAAGTAGTCAGCTTTTTCTTTATTGCAATGGAGCAAAAACAAAAGTACTAATGGTTTCAGAGTATTATTGCATTGTCAGAAATGCTCAGTGTAATTTGCATGTAGAAAATGCTTGAAGAAAGTAACTAAACTTCATTTGATCTTGACATGTTTTTTTTATATTAAAGTTCCATTTCATTGCATAAATCAGCTGAGATAATTTCAAGCTGTATTCTCCATCCTTGCTATTAAGACATTATAAAGATGGTGTTTCTCTATCCCTTTCACATCTTGAATCATGTGGTAGTGGTTATTTGTCCGCACCAAACTGATTTATAAGCGGAGTTTTTGATTGAATACTTCTTCCTGGTGCTGCCATTGACCAGAATTGACGCAGCTCATTGTTCTGTGAGTTGAGGGCGGAATTGATTTGTGCCAGGCTGCAGTGTAGAGGAATCTTGTCCCTCTCTGACCTGCTTCTTCTGATCAATCAGCCGGCAGCGAGGCTCTTTATCAGCCCATACTGGTACTTTAATTTTATAAATAGCCAGTGGTCACTGTCAGGTAGAAAACCATTCTAAAAAGATACTTGAAGGCATAGATTTACTGTGCAGGATTTTAACCTACTTGCACACAAATAAGCATGAAACTATCATAAGATCAGTCATATGACAACAATGTGTGCAATTGTCCTATGTAGCTTATTCAGCTTCAGTTCCTTTATTTCTTTATCGTGATTAATGCATAAAGGCACCTCTAGCCAATTGCAACTTAGACATGCCTATGACTGGTGTGAGCTAATGTGATGTGACACATTGAGGTCAGCACATGAACAGATATAACTTAGGAGTTACCTGAATCAGTAGTTAAGCATTTTTTTAAAAAGAAAAACCCAGGTTACTGAACTTCGGGAATGACCTCAGAGTTAATGTGCAATGGTTTAAGCAAATTCTGGAGGTCTGTATATAACATCATGTTTGATTATCACTGTCAGAAATTGACAACGAGAATTATTGTGGGGTCATGCATACAAAACACGGTAAATCAGGGCTCCATATAAGGGGCGTATGTACGGATATAAAATATGCATGATACGGAAGAACATGTTTAGGAAAAAGTAGCAGATACGCACCACTGCAATGGTGTACGGTCTTAGAATCATTTACAGTCGTATTTAACCGAAAAAAAAGTATTGTTTTATTGTTCGTTGAACTGTTTACACAAGAGTGGCAATGTTGTGGTGCATACATGAAATGAAACACAAGATTACTGATATTCCTTTAAATTCCATTCAGTACTCTAAATGTACTCTTGAAGTTTTCCAGTACTCTTATATTGAAAAAGTAAGGAGTACGTACTCCTTGTTCTGTGAGTTGAGGGCTGAATTGATCACTGTCAGGTAGAAAACCATTCTAAAAAGATACTTGAAGGCATAGATTTACTGTGCAGGATTTTAACCTACTTTGAAAAATTATCTGGAGCCCTGTAAATGTTTTTAGAAATTCAGCAGTGGTAAGCAAACTTCGTTCAAGTGTTAAAAGTAAGACCCTTGATAATACTTATTAATTGTTATATACCCCTTTCTGAACTGGTAGAATTTATTTTGTAATATACCCAAGAACAAATTGACTGTCATCTGGATTTTTGGTTTAGTAGCTGGTGCTTTTATTGATCGCATGATTGGGCAAGAATTTGGTTTAGTGGGTTGAGCAGGGTGCCTAATTAGGATACATTATGTTTAGACATCATGTTGGGGTTAAGAATATGAACATATTGTGGATTTTGTTCTTACATTTTGGGTTAGTTCATCATGACATCAAGGTTAAATGATACATTTTGAAGATTACGCAGGTTTCGGGGAAAATGTCTTGGCATCACCTATCATTATCACACCCATCATTCAGTGAACAATATTAAACAGCTGAGTTATTTATTTTTTAAATGGTGATGGAAATAATGCCATTCATCTGCTTGGAAACCTCTGTAGTAGTGCAGACACTTGTACTGATATCCAAACATTGACATTCTCTGGAAAATGGCTGTAATTGCTGTTAGTCATACACTTGATAACAGCTGCTAGTTATGTGTATGAGTAAGCTAGTACTTAGTTGTGTTCTTGTAGGTCAGCATTGTGGGCTCGTGCAGAGCTCCAGATAAGATTTAGCTCATGTGGGTACTGTGCCCACTGTAATTTTTTGGAGTGGGTATTATGAATGTTGAGTGGGTATTTTATTTTCCATTACCCACTGCTTTCAAATATGTGCGTTTTTCAGTCATATTACTTACCTAAGTATTGTGTCATTGAGTAAGTTTACTAAGCAGGTATGTTCTGCCTTATCTAATCAAAACCAAGTTAAATATAATGGAAATGATTTCATAAAAAAACACTCATCCTATATTGACAGTACAACACTTGTCCTATACTAACAGTACAACTTGATAGCAATCAATGTCTATTTCATTATGCAAGCGATTTTTAAAAATATATTCCGTTACCATATATTTTAAACTTTTTGCATATCCAACATTTTAAGTGCGTAATTGGTACGCAACAATTATTTTTCAATGTGTAATTGGAAATTTTCTATTCATATTTTCCCCGGATATGCAGCTTATCTGGGCCTCTGGGCTTGTGGAATTCAAGTTTTGATGTCCGTATCATATTGTTTTGGTCAGAAGTAGTTCTGCTCTATATAAAGTAATAATTTTATAACCAAATCTTTCTCGAGCAGAGCATTTATCACCAGAGCTAATGTTAAGCTTACCATCAAGAACAGTATTGCTGAGGCTAATCAAAAACATGCATTTTTTTTCAGGCAATATGGAACCAGTATGGGTCACTACATCGGGTTCTTTTGTATTTAGTAGAATTTACAGTGTGTAACTCGGATGGCTTGTTTGGGACTGATGTTTCTAGCCATAAGTTATCTGGAAGACACATGTGTTCTGTTTGTTGCCAAAGTCAGAAGTTTGTTGGGAGGGATGCAACTAGCCCTGTGGTTTGAATAATCTTGTCCAGTGTTATTGGTATCCAAAGGGAGAGTGGAATTTTTGTTCCGTGTTATGTCATCACTTGTCTAGCTGGCAAATGTTTTAGTCTCTTTCTCCTTTAGTTGCATCACTAATAGAATTAGGATCCTGTACAGAGTGGAATAAGTTCCAAGGTGTCCTTGTATTATGTAAGAGACCAAGAAAATGGAGTGATCAAGGTGACTTGCTTGTATTGTCTGACACGGTTTCTTTGTTTTGCAGCTCCAAAATGTTGGCATCAACGCCGCCAACATTGGTTTCAGCACCCTCACCATGGAGTCTGACAAGTACATCTGTGTGCGGGAGAAGGTGGGGGAAACGGCACAAGTTGTCATCATTGACATGAACGACACAGCCAACCCCATCAGGAGACCCATCTCAGCTGACTCCGCCATCATGAACCCAACAAGCAAAGTCATTGCACTGAAAGGTAAGACTGACATTGACACCCTTTTAACGAGAGCTAAAGAGTGATGAATTGGTAATGATCCTGTTTAATATATGATGAGTCTGTGCCTGTACCACTTGAGTCTACTGCATTCTAGAACCTGTCCTTCAGCGTCATTATTGGAAGATCTGTATCTTAAAATGTGAATTGTTTAATAGTATTGAAAGAGTTTTAAAGACCAGGGCCTAGATTTACGAAGCTCTCTTAGAGCTAAGATAGTCGTAAGTGCCATACAATAACATTAACTTACTACTATCTTAGCGCTAAGAGAGCTTCGAAAATCTAGGCCCAGGATAATGTTTTCTTCACTTGTATCTACTTAATAGCATGGTATCAGGTAGTATGAAGACCTTTATTGAAGATTTATTTCATGTTTCTGCAGTAAAATGTGTATTTGGCCTGTAGAGTAAAGTTATTTAAGGAATCTGTTGCCTGTCATTCGATAATTATTGACCTAGTAATACTTTTGAGGGTTCTCAAATAAAATGAAAAGGTCAGGTTCAGGCAGTTTAGACATGTGGACACACTTCACACATATTGATAAGACTAACTGAATCTGTGATATTTCATGCTGTTGTACAACATTCAACAACTGCAGCAATAGATCTGTATTGTGTATATATTTTCTTGTACAGCTGGGAAGACCCTTCAGATTTTCAACATAGAGATGAAGAGCAAAATGAAGGCCCACACAATGACAGACGAAGTAACTTTCTGGAAATGGATCAGTGTTAACACCATCGGTCTCGTCACAGACAATTCCATTTACCACTGGAGCATGGAAGGTCAGTATCTTGTGTTGTCTTGTCTTGGATTCATAAGGGATCCTTGTTGGAGATTATAGTGTTCTGCTACAAATTGAATGCATGGGGACAGGCCTCCCTGGCTCTTGGTCTACTTCAAAATTTGGTTACATTTTGAAAATAGTGGGGCCAATGTTTGAGATGAGGTAAATTTATGCCTAGTGATGTACGAGTGGACTAATATTGAAACTTCAAAAATATAGATCTAAACACGGCAGTGTTTGCTGTTATCTGTAACTGGTGCAGAGTTCAAGTACAGCTACTGTTACACAGTGCTTGAGTCACTTAAAGTTAGTTATCAGAGCAAGAACTTGGCAAGGAACTTCAGGTATTATGAATCAATTTCCTCTGTTTACCGATCTCCAGTGCTGTAGAGTGAAGATAATATCCAATTCAACAGGTGCAACACGTTCAGCTTTAACAAGTTTGAGGTTGTCCACTCCTTGGAACTGTGTATGTTCCTTTGTTGGGTTTTTATTTGATTCTGGGTATTGAAGCCCTTTTCACAATCTGCTGAGTGAATATTGTTTAGAAATTCAGATGGTTTAGAAAGGAATGTTTGTGATGCTCATCAATGAGAAACCAGAGACTGGACAATTTACAACAAGTGTTTTCATCATACTTCGCTCTTGCCTTGTTGCCACAGGATCAATAGGTGCAATACATTTGCTTGTAACTTCTTAGGCTTTTTCCTCCCCAAACTGGTTGATCAAAGTGTTAATCTGATGTCATTAAAATGACTGAGGTTGTCCTTTCTCAGGAAGGATATTGGAGACCAAGCACACCAAATGCATAGATCATGTTCCTGTTTTAAACAGAATTTCTGTCATCACTTTTCTTGAAAGTTTCATCAATGAACTTTTTCTTCATGGAATTAATGTTGTGTTTCCCCTAAACACAATGGCTGCCCTTGAAGATAAGCTTATGAGCCTCTGTTGTCATATGTTCATTCTGCAGCAGTGTATCTGAATGCTTTCAAACACCATCCAACTTTGTTGTGCTGTTTGTAGAAGCTATGAAGTAGTAAAATAAACCTGTTAATGTACTCTGGATGTGTCTCAGGTAGTCGGTTTCATCTGCTGCTTGTGAAGTGACAAGGGCCAAACGATGAGCAATACGCTGAAAGCTGATTAGCATTAGATTGACTCTGAAGCAATGGCCAGTAACACCTTCAATCGTACCTGTTATCCCTCTTTATGTCTGAGCCCAAACCCCTGACTCGGTCAACAGAAACACATTTCCTCTCACAGAACAGCAAGTGCTTCAGCAACCCTTTAACCAGGTGTGGACATGATTTCAATGATGGTAACATAATGTGTAGATGCTACAGATGTCTTGCATCTATTGTCCTGGTATGCACAACCAACTTCTTTTTGCCAACTTCTGTGCTCTCATTGGCAAATGGACTTACAAAGAATGACCTCATCAGCTTAAATTCCAGTTGCTTCTGAATAACATGTCCTAATGATTGGATCATTAAAATTATGTCCAGCCAGTGAGAGGACCCCCTTACACTAATGGATTTGATCACTTGCTGCTTCTCAAACCTAAAATGAATTTTGAAATTTTCACTTCATTGCCAAATTTGTTCAAGAATGTAGGCCTCATGTTGAAGTAAGTGACTTACAATAACTCTTGGTGTGTGTGCACTGACTTCCCACACGTCCATGTGGCTTATCTCAGATCTTCCAGGTTTCAAGAAGATGAGTTTATCTGGGTACAATGAGTCACCTTTATCACACAGATATAGACGTTGTGGAGTCTGACTCCAGCTTGCTGTGGCCCACTTTGATGGAGATACTTAATCACCTTTGATTGGAACTATACTGGTACACTTTGATCCTTCAATATCAGCGACAGTCCACCAACTTGCCCTTGTTTATTAGGCTTAAGGAAGTATTGAACTGGTAGTTATTGCCAACTGCTGACTACACCACAGTTTGTTTGATTGGTTTCTAAATTGTCTTCACCCACCTACAAAACAAATCCTATGACCCAAGTTCATTTGTAATAAATTCTGATCAGTGGGGTAAATTGTTCATCACCAAAAAACTTTTTTAATAAGTAACTATCAGTAAGCTGACAGACCTGTTGTCTTTGTACATTGGCTGTGAAAGAGAAACTGTGAAACTGAAAGGAAGGCATTGAGGCATAGAAAAAAGTGCAGACAATGACAATATCATGACGCTGTACACCCATAAGGCAATTTTTGTTTGGCTTTTCCAATGTCACCTATTGAAAATAATTTGTTGCCAAATGAATATGTCAATGGTTTAAATACAATCTGAACAAAAATCAGTGGTGAGCACTTCAGTCGATTGTGTTTCACAGTTTTCAATGAATCCTCCCTTTAATATAATCTAATGTTGAGACATATTTCCTTGTATTTTATTTAGTTTCCATTTTGGGGTTTTTTTTTGTAGTGTTTGAGTCAGTTTTCATTGTAATTTTCTTTCCTTTTGACTATATATCATGTTGGATCCTAAGCAGTAAAATATTACGTGAACCATATTTCAGGCTGACAGCATCTGTTATAATGTGAGTCTAAATGACAATATGCAATATGTATTATGTGCAGGTTTACTTGCCAACATTGTAGACATGGTGGTCATTAGTTTAATTGTTTCATGAGGGTTAAGTTGTGCACATTTCAATTCTGACAAATAGTCCAGCATTCAGACAAACTTATTCCATAATCTCCAAATATCTTTACTAGATTGCACAGTTGGTTTATTTTGTAAACAAGAACAGAACTATCAATAATAAGCACAGGGCTTGAGAGTACTTGGGTTTGAAAATACAAGAAGTAATGAATTTGATAATTGTCTCATATGCTCTTTCCCAAAATCATTTGACTTGATTAGTTCCATCAAATATAGTTAACACAAAAACTTATAACATGTTTGAAATTTCCAAACTGAAACTGAATAATTAGTGAAGACCATGCTGTCATGTTGCAGGAACTTTGTCAATAATGGTGTCAACAAAACACACTCACTCTAAATTAATAACATTGCAACCTGATTTGGCTTTGGTTACAGTCTTGACATAGATACCCAGATGCAATACAATAAAGAAACCACTTTGGAGAGTCATGCAGCAACATGGAGGAGACGGTGTCGCCCAGGTTAACTTCAAAGCTTGGGCCTGAGTTGCCGTAACCTTAATGGTTGCCTTGGGTGGAGATCCTGGTTGTTGTAGCAAATATCCAAAGAGAACTATGGATTCTTACTTAAGATCCATGCTTTGTTCAGCTGAGTGCAACAAGAATATTGCATGTCAGTATTGATCAGGGTGAGCTTGGAAGACTGCAGAATGCATTAGCACTATACTGTGGCAGATGACACAATGGGGGAATTTCAAAAGCTCTAGGCAAGATTCTTGCAAGATAGAGATAATGGCCTCCAAACATTTAGATATATAGGAACATCTGGTGATCACTCAGGACAAAGCAAGTAGGGAGGAGAATGTTACGTTCTTAACTCATATGGTATGATTGCAAGCACAGTGATCGGTGTTTATTTCTGAGACTGCCATACTGTGTTTTGAACGTGGATGTGTTTGTCTCGTCGATTTGACAAGACTAAAGTGAATTGAAACTGCTGTTTTCAGTCAGTGTTTTAGTGACAGTGGATGCCTTTGTGACAAATTGGGAAAAAGTATATTTCAAATTTTAAGAAGCTGATTTTTTCATACAGTTGTAAATGCTTAAACAAAGATTGTGGTCTATACTGACCAACAAAATATGTTGAGCTTTAGGCATGTCGGCTGTGGGGTAGCCTTGTGGGAAAATTGTTTGCTCGTCACGCTGACAACCCTGGTTCAATTCCCCACATGGGTACAATGTGTGAAGCCCATTTCTGGTGTCCCCCAGCCGTGATATTACGGGAATATTGCTAAAAGCAGCATAAAACTAAACTTACTCACTTTTGGCGTGTCAAGTTGATATTTGTAAGTCACTCCTTGGGTATTTTGCTGTTAACTATTGGGAAAATATCTGTCAGAGCAAAATGGAAAAATCTCTCCAGCCTGTTCCCAATGTGCATAACAACCTTGGTAAATGGATTATTTGTTTTTATACCTTTTGTTCAATTTTGTATTGATAATAAATGGTGGGTTTAAGTCATTGCCGTTACTCAAAATTAGATGAAGATTAACAGGGTGATGGTCCCTACCCCTTATATATATCAATTCAGTAACAACACATTGAAGGACCACAGAGCCTCATGTTTTCCATCACTTTGACAGTTTGGCAATGATCTTTATGTACTATATTATTTGGCACCATTTCATAAACTTGATATATGAAGGTTCTTTGAGAGCAAGTAGCTAAATACTCACTGTCTGGGCAACCATGAAGATTTGATGGTAATGTCAGTCCTACTTGTTTTCTTTTGTACAGAGCAACTGTTCTCTCTATTAAGGTTTACTGGCAGCAATTAAGTTGGCATAATGGATAAAATAAAATCACTTCTGTAGAAATAATTATCATGCACTTGAGTTTTTGTCATGCAGATGCCGTTTTTGAAACAGGATTTGAAATTTATTCATAAACGCAAAAAAGTCATTTCTAAATTGAAACTGATTTATCACAAGAACAGGAACCTCTTTTGTTAGCCAGATTTGTTGCAGGATTAGCACAATAACTTTACGTTGATGGCAAGATTTAGCACAAGAATTTCAAAAGAACTTCACTTCAATGGCATGACTAAGCACAAGAATTAGCGCAAGAAGATCTCTTTAATTGGCAGATTTTCCAAAGAATTAGCATGATGACATTACTTCAGTGCTCACATTGTTCACAAGAACCAGCACAAGAACTCCTCTTCAGTTGCATAATTTTCAGGATATATTCTCAATATTTAAGTCTGGATTGGAGACAGTTATAAATGTGCTCTTTACAGGTAATGATGCACATGTGGTGGCTGGCAATGATAGGTTGGATACACTTGTCGCTGTAGATAGATTCAAGCATAAGCCTGCCACAGAACATTAATGAATACTGAAATTTGTTAAATATTGATTTTTATCATCTCATGTTGATTGTCAGTTGAAAGAAGCTTTGTCTTAAATTTTCCATAACTCTGGCTATTAATAAGGCTTTTAAATTTGTAGTTTTATTTTGCATTGTTGTTTTGTCATCCAAAATGTCCTGGAGTTATTGTTCAAATTTGATGATGAGATGGGAAAATGTCCAGTCAAACAATGATAGTCATTGAGTCCTGTTTCCATTTATCTGCAGCATAATACTACAGTGTTGAACATGCTACTTAAGTTTGTCATCATCATGAATGAACAGAGGTAGATATGACAATATCAATGAGTCCATACACATACCAGTTCTTGCATCATATTTATGATATGATATATTTTTTTCTGTTTTCATGAGCTAACCAGTTCAGTATCTATCAACAAAAATCGTTCAGCAATGTGTCTATTGAATTTCTTAGACTTTGACAACAGTAGTGGGAAAGACGGTATCAATATTTGAATCCTTTGACTTTTCTGTGAACCGACATGGCCAGTCAATGATTGCTGCTGTGTAGAAAGCCTCTGTAGACTTAGGAGGACCATGGTTGACCCCCATCTTCCTGGAACAAGGGAGTTTACAGACCAGATGGCAACTTTCCTTACTGAACTTGGGGTGGTGGGGGTAGCCTAGTGGTTAAAGCATTCGCTCATCACGCCGAAGACCCGGGTTTGATTCCTCACATAGGTACAATATGTGAAGCCCATTTCTGGTGTCCCCTGCTGTGATATTGCTGCAATATTGCTAAAAGCGGCGTACAACCATAATCACCCTTATTGAACTCAGGTGGAATTTTGTGGCTTTGTTGTATGGCAGCTCCCAGTAAAACAATGTGATACATAATCATGATCTATTTCATAATGAAAGAGGTCTTCCTATATGGACTGTTATTAGATTACTAGACTGAACAGACATCGGGCCTTGGACTAGTGACAACATTTTACCTTCAATGCTTGTGGGGCTTACTAGTTATTTAGATGGCCCTTCCGACTTTCCTCGTACATCATCCGGACATGCTGTGATAATACTGATAAACTAGTCCTTGGTGTGTTAAATCAAGTCCCAGTATGGAGAATAGGGTTTTCAAAAAGGGACAATCAGGTAGATGTGCAGAATCCTGTGTCAATGAGAGATGTTTTTGCAGGAGACTCCCAGCCACAGAAGATGTTTGACCGCCACAGTAACTTGGCAGGCTGCCAGATCATCAACTACAGAACAGATCCTAAGCAACAGTGGCTGTTAGTCGTGGGCATTTCAGCTCAGGTCAGTCCAAATGAGGTTTGTGTTAGGGTTATGTTTGCAGTTTCCCAGAGGAGTGATGATGATGGTGGTGGTGGTGGTGGTTATGATGAAATTTATGGAAAATATACTGGTACACGGAATAATGTGAAAAAACCTATTTCGACGTGAGATCAATGATAAAAAAAATCAACAATTAATTCTGAAAAGATGTCTTTTGAAAAGTGGTTTGGAATTTAATCATTTACAAGAATCATAAGAAATTTTGTTCTTGGAAAAATATTATTTGAACAAAATCACAGCGAGGAAATCCAAATGTTTTTGTGTGTTTTAAGAACATTTACGCTGGAATTGGTAGAGACATTTTCAGATGAGTAATTAACTAATCAGTATGCATCTTGTGAACTAAGATGAGTAGAATTGTTATTGAGAGGTTTAACAAGGGAAGAGTTGTCATCACCCCTCTGGTGGTAGGTAGTGTTTTTCTCTGCACCCAGACACTTGGTGGAGGTAATACAGCACTGACACCTGTTTTTGTCAATAAAGAACTGTTTGTATGGATCATACCAGATGAGTATGTGGCGATATATTTTATGATGAATATTATCCTGTCACAATATTAATATATAATCATGTTTAAAAAATGTGTATTCATGTTGTGAAAGTGAGATGGATTTTGTATATGTGGCTTATAGATACACAGGTTCTTTTGCTGAAATCTATGACAACTGCACAGCATGTGAAGCACTTTGCGCAAGTTTGACCTGCATGTTTTTTAAGCTAAAACATCTTCTCAGTGCAAGGCTGCTATGGAACGTGGACCTCAGCCACCTTGCTAGCAGACTGACCTGGATTACTGCCACACACACACACATTTGGTACAGATTATGTCATCATGTTGGCAGTGCTACTCCATTCATAACTGGTGGGGATGAGGAATCGACCCCGCTACCTGGTTGTGTATGCTTAGCCTTCCCTGATGTAGACTTGTACGTCACTGCTTGGCAAAACTGTGTAAATCTCTATACAAATATACCACTGAGGTGATGAGTCCATTTGACACTTTGCCAGACTTGGATGTTGTGAGGGATCGTATGACAGGTTTCTGAGTTGCTGCAAGTACAACATTCTATTGCATGAAAAACTGATTACGGAAATCTTTGGTGCCACATTATGTCTTGTAAAAAATACTATGAGAATATCATAGCTGAACATGTTGTATATTACACACTTGCTCAAAGCAATCTACAAAGTTATAAAATGTCTTTTGAGAACAAAGGTAATATACTATCTTTGATAACTATCTTGGCAGTGTTGAAAAGGCCCCTTCCGTTTCCTGCATTTTAGGATTCACTGCTTGTCTCAGCATGGTTATCTCATGGATTCATTCTCATTCAGGCCAAATGACTGTGCAAACGTTTTTGTTATTTTTGTCTGTTGCTTTATACACAAATGATACCAGATGTGATAGAAGTGTTTTTATGTTTCATGGGTTTAATTAAAGAAGTATGTCGTGATTACTTCATGTATATATTGTCCAACTTGATGTGTCATTCAGCAAAACCGTGTCGTTGGGGCCATGCAACTTTACTCTGTGGAGCGTAAAGTCAGTCAACCTATCGAGGGGCATGCCGCAGCATTTGTGCAATTCAAGATGGAAGGAAATCCTCAGCCATCAACACTGTTCATCTTCAGTGTCCGGGGACCTCAAGGAGGGAAGGTAACAAAACCCTTCTTCAGCTTTCACAAAACACATCTTTGGAGAGAATAAATCATCCTGGTTGGCAAGTTATAGCTGCAAATCAATCATTCTGTTTCTGCTGGGGTAATAATATAGTGTTAACCTTGGTATCTAAAGAGCTGCTACATGCTGAATTTGTGCAGGGTTTTGTAAAATATTTCATGGACATATATGGCCCATTGAATGTATGAGCTTGGTTCCCGAAATATGAGGCAGATAACTCACCCCCATGAAATCTAAAGCAATTTACAAAATATATATCTTCATTTGATTTGTATTGTTTATTCTATTCTCACTGAAGTGGTCAATGAAATAAGAGGCTTTTACTGTCAGTTTTCATACATTCCATTTTCACTTTCAGCTGCATGTAATTGAAGTTGGACAGCCACCTCAAGGAAACCAGCCATTCCCCAAGAAGGCAGTAGATGTGTTCTTCCCAGTAGAAGCTCAGAATGATTTCCCTGTTGCTATGCAGGTAACAGCATGCTGAAAATATAACCAACCATGAATCATTACTGTTTGAAAGTCTGTTTCAACATGTGCATGTTTTGAACATTTGATATTCATTGAAGAAGATAATTTTAATGTGCAGAATTGAAAAATCAGTGCTAGGTTATATATTAACACTGTACTGCTTGTGGATAGTGATGGTTTGAAAGGTTAGCGGCTTTCTTCATTGAGTGTTGGTAATTCAGTGTTGCTGTCAGTTTTACCAACATACTGAAATACTGTCCGAAGTGGCGTCAAACCCAACTCCATGTCTAGTTGAATTCTCAGAGACAGCAGTCAAAAACTTTGTTTCAGTGATTCTTTTCAAATAAAATTGATTCAATAATAAATTGATGAAATTTATTTATGATTATGTATGGTTTTGAAACTAAGGTGTGTTATTGTTTGTTTGCAGACAAGCCAGAAACATGGCATGGCTTTCCTCATCACCAAGTACGGCTATATCCACATGTATGATATTGAGACTGGAACCTGCATCTACATGAACCGCATCAGCAGTGACACCATCTTCGTCACCGCACCACACGAGGCCACTAGCGGCATCATCGGAGTCAACAGAAAGGGACAGGTTAGTTACTGTTCTATAGTTACTATTTAAGCCTCTTATATTGCTCCAAAGTTCAGAGATTCTTGTGTCATACTGCTTAGCACTGTTTCCATCCTTATATGATAAACAGACAATTTGGTGTACTTGCAGTGTTTGTTCTGGACTTTTTAAGGCCAGACACGGCACCTCAAATTGACATATTTGCTTCAACATGTCAAAATCGAGATTTTGATTTTTTTCGTATAATTAACACATGTACTTAACGATACAACACGTTGTTTTCGATAAAGAGTCTTATTTATTGATATAAACCCCTACAAACATAATCGTATATGTGATAATATTCAAAAATGTGTGAAATCAAACCCTGAAAACGCCGAACTTTCACCCCTTACAACGCCCTCCCAGCAGGGACGAACCCATTCATGTTATACATCGCTGAAAGCTCATCGTGTCCGCCATGTTGTTGGTCAAAAACATTCTAAAAATAGATGTTCCACGTGAGGATATCTCTACTTTCCGCGATGGGTATTCTGTGCGAAAACATCCTTGTAAGGCGAAATATCCCACAATGCAACATTCGGACAAGGCGAACTATCCCACAATGCAACATTCGGTAATCTTAGATTTACATCCTTATATGGTAGCGTATCCCACAATGCACCATTCGGCATATCAACAAAACATCGTCCTTTCCGGTAAGCATTCAAAATGGCGGCTGCTTGGCGAAAACATCGACCGATAAACATCGGTATTTGATATATTCTTGACTAACAGTTGTTGTATTCTATAAAATGAGAAGAACACAGTCAAAGCAGCTACACATTAAGAAAAGAGGCAGCTGCGACAGGCATGCTTAAAATACAGTGTCAAAGATCCGACAAGTTTTGACAGCAGCGATCAAGCATGTGTTTAGATTTCTGACAGCTTCTACATTTTCGATGCATCGGAAACATCTGGGGACCAGCCTTTGAGGAAAACATTCCCAATGGAGTCAATGAAGGTAAGAAATAGTTTTTATTGAATCGAGATTCACATAGAACTTTCAAAATTTAAAGTTTTTGAGAACCTCCGATCTCATTTCCTTGTCAATGACAAACCTACACCTCAATCAATGGATGCGAAGGGATAGAGTTTGTGTTGAAGCAACTGACTACTGAGTGGTTGTTGTATGGTGTAGGGGAGTTTTATGTCTTTTTTTCTTTGTATATGAATTGCTTCATGTATTTGGAATACATCCCTTCAGTAAACTGAGACTTTGAATATGTTTATCTCGTGCTAAAGTAGGAAAAAACCCGACCAAATTTATTTCCTTATTTTCTCCATATACGTCATTTTCGATCTTAGTGAACATAGTTCTCAGTTGTTACTGGCCCGATTTCAATGAAATTTTGTGTACATATAGCCAATTGATTACTTTATGCAATAACAGAGAGACTTTTTCAAATTTGTTGCCGGTTTTCTATTTAAAAAATGAAATATGAGTGAAAATCAACCCCCAAAAGTGATTTTTTTAAAACAAATTTTTAAATGAAATAACAGTCTTTTTTAAAAATATCTTAAGCAAAAGTTTAAGTTGATTACAAATACTTGTTAAGCAGTTTATCATTTACTGATAGTAAGAGCTGACAAAATGGACTGTATGGTGACTCATTGACCTGGTTGATTGCATGGCTTTGTATCCCAATGATGTCAATTGCTGCTCACTAAGTCAGTAACCAGATTTTGGGTCTGAACTCAGTCACTCATTGTCCGTCCACATGAAGCTGGAATAGTGCTGATTTCAATGCACACACAGTTTAGTTGAGCTGAAGCTTAAATATATCTAGATCATTAAAAAAAGGCAAATCAAGTTGTTTATGAGAGTCAGAAAGATCCATTGTATCCTATGTATGGTACAAGCTGTCTCTATGATGGTGTAACTGTGATGTGTCTTGTGTCAGGTGTTGTCGGTGAGTGTGGAGGAGGACAACATCGTGCAGTACATCAACACCACCCTACAGAACCCAGACCTGGCTCTCAAGGTGTCATCACGCAGCAACCTGCCTGGAGCTGAGGACTTGTTTGTCAGGAAGTTCAACAACCTGTTTCAGAATGCACAGTACTCAGAGGCTGCTAAAGTTGCTGCGAGTGCACCCAAGGTGATTGCATGACTTTTTGTTTGTACACTTATTGACAGGAGGTGTTACAAATGTGTTGTTAATTATTCTGTGGTAAAAAGCTAAATACATTGAAAACTGCTTGGTCAGGACATTGCCAGTCCATCTACATATTTTAGTGCTATTTGTCTTTGCTAGTGATTTTGTAGTCTATAATTATCTTACTCCGTGGTTTTACTGTAAGCAGTATCATCTGGATAAAATGGGTTTCAGTTTGCATGTAAATTGTCGGCCGCCTTGAAATATTTCCTGTCTCATTACTAGTAAAGGTATTTGACAAAATTGTCTACCAAAAACTTACTGTAATTGTTTCTCTCTAGGGTATCCTGCGAACCCCCCAGACAATCCAGCGTTTCCAGCAGGTTCCCTCCCAGCCCGGCGCCACCTCCCCACTCCTTCAGTACTTTGGTATCCTGCTGGACAAGGGGCAGCTGAACAAGTACGAGTCTCTGGAGCTGTGTAGGCCTGTATTGCAGCAGGGACGTAAACAACTCCTTGAGAAATGGCTCAAAGAGGAGAAGGTACGTATAGCTTCAGCATGCCGTTGTATTAGACAAAGTGGCATTTATGTGTGAGAATAGGTCCTCGGCAACCAATGCTTGTTGTTAAACCAAATGGATAGGGTGATCTGACTCTGTGACTTGATTAAAAGCAATATTTAATGAAGACTTGTTCTGATTAATGATCCTGTCAGTATCATTATAACATACGTGTTCTGTTTCCAGCTTGAGAGCAGTGAGGAGCTTGGTGATCTTGTGAAGCAGGCTGACCCAACACTTGCCCTGTCTGTCTATCTGAGAGCCAATGTACCAAATAAGGTTTGTTAATCTCATTACTCTTCTTAACAAGATAGGATCCCAGAGTCTCTCTGTAATGTGGCCCATATTTTTCACTCAACCTATGGGTATTGAGATCAGTTTTATGCTTTGTAAGTGAAAGAATATAGTATTTATAAGTAATATATATAATATAGTTATTCATGATGAAAATATTGATTCCAGGTGATTCAATGTTTCGCGGAGACTGGTCAGTTCCAGAAGATCATTCTGTACTCAAAGAAGGTGAACTTCACACCTGACTACATCTTCCTCCTGCGTAACATCATGCGCATCAACCCTGAGCAGGGTCTGCAGTTTGCACAGATGATGGTGCAGGATGATGAACCCCTTGCTGACCTCAATCAAGTAAGAACACAGAAATGTTTGCCTAAGGACCTGATTACAGGTGTAACAACGATACCACTCACTCTGGCTTTGTTGATGTGATGCCATTACCAAGGTCAAGCTCAAATCTTGGGTAAATGTGTAAAGTCAAAGCGTATCATGGGTGTCATGTTGACTTGTAAACACATTTTCAACATGGAAGGTATTTTGTCACTTCACTACACAGTACAGCTGAAACATTGTGTAAGTCATTTTAGATTTTCACTCACTCATACATCATTATAGCTGATTATGAATTGCAGTTTTCTGAATATTCTGGTGTCTAGTTTGTCACCAATGTCATTCACGTAAGAACTATCACATCTTGTACTGCAACTTAACACTCTGTTTCAGATTGTGGATGTATTCATGGAGTTCAACCTCATCCAGCAATGTACATCCTTCCTGCTTGATGCCCTCAAGAACAACCGACCATCAGAAGGTCCTCTACAGACCAGACTGCTGGAGATGAACCTGATGTCTGCACCACAGGTACTTACAGACCATGGGACACTAGCCCATTTCAGTCTTGTCCTGTGTATAGGAAACATTTCAATGTTTGGTTAAAGTTTTACAGGTCCTTAACCATTAAATAGGTTTATTGGACCACTTTCGGGCAAGCAAATTTGTATATCACACTGTACCCGTGTCCAGTTGATATTCCAATGTTAATTATGTTGATTATTTAAAAAATCAACAAGAAAATGGCCGGTATAGTGGAAAATTATCGGGGCAAGTGATTTTACATGTGCCACTGTACCGGAGTACACTAGCAATTTTAAAGTTATTTCCACCCCTGGACTAGTGTCTATTCTTTATGCTAATATTGTACTTCTTTGGATTTTGTTTGGTATCTTTCTTTGGAGTAAATTTTATTTTGTATCTGAACAGATCAGAAAGTGACATAAAGTGAAGTTCTGTTGTTATTTTGCAGGTTGCTGATGCCATCCTAGGTAACCAGATGTTCACACACTATGACAAAGCACACATTGCCCAGCTCTGCGAGAAAGCAGGTCTCCTACAGCGGGTGAGTGCTACTTGGAATAATAGACTAATCAGAAATGACAATCATCCAAAACTGGCTTCTACAGGAGATATCCCTTGGTTGAGATCAGAGTTTTAAACTTTGACTCTTGCTGATTTATTTGATGTAAAAAGACATTCGGCTGAGATTATTTTGTGTACCATTATGATATGTCCACTAAAACATATTCCAGTTGTGTGTAATGATATGATTGACTTTCTCTGTGCAGGCCCTGGAACACTACACAGACTTGTATGACATCAAGAGAGCTGTTGTACACACCCATCTTCTCAACCCAGAGGTAAGTCTGCCTCCCCATATAGGTTCTAATTAATTACAAGGGTGATATGGCTGGTTAATTGTCCTTGTTCTTTTCCCCACATTGGTACAATGTGGAAAGCCCTTGATATCTACTGCTTATGACATGGCTGAAATATGGCTACAAGTTGTGAGATCATACTATAGTGTCAGAACAGCTAATGAGAGTTTGTTCTTTACTCTTTGATTGTGCTGAGGGACGTGTGATTAGAAAACCACTCATGCATTAGGCTCAAACTGTTGTCTCTTAGTTGACTTAGCGTAGAGTTAGTCCTGCTCTCATGCTGGTTGTTGCAGACATGAATCAGGTGGCCAGTGTGTTAGTAGAAAATAGACATGCTGACTACCATTGATTGATATCGCAGTGTTATAAATGAGTGACTTGTTGTGCAGTGGCTGGTGAACTACTTCGGCTCACTGTCTGTGGAGGACTCGCTGGAGTGTATCAAGGCCATGTTGACAGCCAACATCCGGCAGAACCTGCAGGTGTGTGTCCAGATCGCATCCAAGTATCATGAGCAGCTTAGCACACAGAATCTTATCGAGGTCTTCGAGTCTTACAAAAGCTTCGAAGGTAAGTCCTGCCACTGAATATTCACTGTGTTGTGTTTATTGTATGAGAGTTGAACAGCTTCAACAGTTGTGCCAATATGATATGTATATTGTTTAGAGTGAGAGGTGTTAAGGGTTTCCACAAAGCAAGAGGTATGTCAGATGTTGTCTGAAAATCATTGGCCTAATGCTTTCGGGTCAGGGAATGTTTCATATCTTAAGGAATCTGATTCAAGGGAATTACAGATTTGTGTCCAGCAAGTTATTGTTTGCTGGACGTCTGTGACTCCTAGAGGAATGAGACCTCAGACAGACCTTTGCTTCAATAAGCAAAGTGTTTCATTCGAGATCCCACATAGGACATTAACGTATTGTAGAATGGTTCCTCAAAACTTTGAAAGACACGTTTAATCCAATTATACAACAAAAGTGTGTATTTTGTTCTGCTAAATGCTTGTCTCCTTCTTCTTGTGAATGATAGTGGAACACTTGAAATCCCTTGAAGTTCCCTTCTAAAAAGCAGACGTAAAATCATCACTCACCCAAGAGTGGCCTCCCTTGCCCCTTTGGCGCCCTTTTCGTCACGTGACCAGCCATGTTTTGTCACTCTCTTCTTCTTCGCCCTTGAGGACGGTTGTGAGAGCACTGGGTCCCTATACGGCACATATCCTTTTCTATTTAGGACCTTTACATCAAAATTATTGCTGTGTACGGCTTTTAGGATTGTATTCTACTATGTGGTTCGAAATTTGATCATCGTTGTCAGAAGCATCATCAACCCTGCAGCAGTCTCTTCAGACATCGCAGAACTTCAACCCGGGGCTGTTCATGCAACAGTTTACAGACCAGATGATGTCGATGATGGAACGCCGCTCGCCAAGCAGGAGAAAGCTGCTACGAAGACCACTGACTACTACCCTATGGAAGATTCAGCAGTCTCTCCACGCGCACTTGGAAGAGAGGGAAGCTCGTGAAGGCTTACGCACCCGAAGATCTTCCCCATCTGAAGTTAGGAGCCTGGACAACGCTACCAACCTCAGCTCATTCTTGGACGTCCCTGAAGGAGTCACTAAGAATTCTCCACGCAGAAGCAGATCGAGGCGTTCTCCCGAACCCTACAGACGTCGTAGATACGGGTTGTCATCACCATCAGACCCAAATGCACATCGGGAACCTGCACTCAGGCACTTCACATCTTACAGAGGGGAAACTATGTCTAAGAATCAACTTTCAAGAAGGCCTAGAGAGACATCTGAAGACTCCAGGAAGGATACATGATCACATAGGGATCGTTCACCTGCGCACAGTTCGTCATACAGATCTTCACAGAGGGACTCGTGTTGTCGTGGATCGTCAGGGCAGGAGATGTCTAAATCATAGGAAGAAGGTGAAGTCATATTCTCCGATACGGAAGTAACTTCATGAATTGCTAATGGCCTGGCCCCGATTTCTCGAAACAAACTTAAGTCTGAGTTTCGACTTAAGTTAGAGTTTTTATTCAAATTTGAGAAAATGCATTTCCCAGAATGAACTAAAATCGATATTAAACTCAAACATAGTAGAAAATTTGAGTTTGGTGGATAGATTACTTAAGTTGTTTGGGCTTTTTTATTTCAAAAATGCAGTTGAGTTAAAAATTCATCTATTTCAAATTGTCCAACTCAGTTTGAAATTTGAGTAAAAACTTAAATTTTTCCTTATCCTGACTCATGCTCTTTTGCTTGTCTTCTTCTTCTTGCGAACATAGTGGAACACTTGTATCTCCTTATTTGAAGCTCCCTTCAAAATAAAATCACTAATTGGTACTCACCACGAGTTGCTCCCCTTTGTCTCCCCTGGCGGAAAAAGGTGTCGCCACCCTCTGGCCATGTGCTTCACTCTCTCCTTCTTAGCCCAGTGAGCAGGATGTGAGAGCGCCTTGTGTCTCCTTACACATATATCTTTGATAATCTCTTAGTTTTTTACCTCTCATAGGTTACTATAGAGGTATAGCTAGTATCCTTTACTATTTGTATTGATTAATTATCATTATTTCTACTGTTTATTCACGTGTATTCGTGATTGTTCAGCTAGCTCTTTACGTTCATGAAAATCTGTACGATTTGTAGATTACGTTTTCTGCCTCGATCCACATGTAATATGCCCTAGTTGTTCTAATACGTGTCGCGTTTAATTCACGTTGCAGTTACTGCATTAATTTATCTCATTCTGCATTTAATAAATATCATCTTTCGTCTTTAAGGCGTGCTGCAGATAGATCACGCAAACAAGGGCAAAACATGGCAGAGAGTCCAGATATTCCTTCCAGTCAGCTGCTAGCGATCGACCCTCTCCGTCTGGTGTTCTGCTAGAGACCCCTGCGGCGAGAGAACGTGGGGCGCATGATCCGTTACCTCGAAGAAACGACCGGCCTCCCCAGACATCCCGTCATTGCAGACTAAGTCTAAAGAGGGCCTCATCGTCGTCTCAACGCAGATTGAGGACACTTCCAGGGCAGCGCGATGACTTCCAAAGGGAAATTCACGAAGACAGCAAGAACTTTCTCAGCGAGATCGTTCCAGCAGCAGAGTTGGGCCTCTACGATGATCAGCCGATAATCATCCCCGACTTTACGGCAGAAGAAGCGACCCGGTGTCAGCGACTGTGACTTCTGCAGAGATCTCCATGCAGCCTGATGCCTCTACACCGACGTCAGGCGCCATTGATGTGAACCCCATCGCAGAAAGACGCCCGGCGACTTCGTCACAGATCATCCCAGAAGACATGATGCGGCAGATTATGAACATCATGGAGGACCACTACAAACTGCGCAAGCGCAGCGTCCGAAGCCAGCGAAGGCTCCAACGTGAACAGCACCCCAGAGGCACCCCAGTCAGCGTAGCAGCCAAGACGATGTCACCTTCGGCGAAGGAAGTCCCGCACCACCTTGACGAAGGACCTAGATGTACAGCCGGCGAAGGCCGAAGGCGCCTTCGGGAGCGGAGATCATCACCATCTTCGATTTCATCTCTAGATATGGACTCAGACCATCAGACATCACGGAAGCCTTCGCGAAGGTCATATCATCGATCCCCGGACGGACGCCAAATGAAGCTTCAGCTAAGGCATTCGCGAAAAGACATATGATTCCAGATCTTCATCGTCTAGAAGAACATCGAGGGACTGCCGAAGAGCTTCGCGAAGCTATCAACATTCACCTCACAAGTCTCGAGAAGATCATCCCATAGGCGATCTCCACTCCGTTCATCACCAGGTCGATCACCCATCAGATCTCCACATAGAGCGCGCACAAGTCAACTAGATCGCCACAAACCTCATCAGATATTCAGATAGCTACACGCGGTCGAAGAGCATCTACAATTTATTAATGATGATGGTTTTGAGGGATGATGGAGGAATCATATTTTCTGATGCAGAGATACGGTATTGGATGGTCAATAACCTAGATCTCACATCACCATCTAAAAGTGGCAATACAGCTCAGGACGTATTTGATGAAGGAAGATGATCCAGATGCAATCACTCTACCCCCGATCGACCCGATTGGCAAAAGTGCCACAGAATCTAGATGCAGCTTTCCAGAAAGCTACGAAAAGTTCAGATACCATCTACCCAACTTTCAAGCCAAGAAGTTCTCCACATAACATGGACTCCTTCTACAAGGCCCAGGACATCGATGAGAACTATAAGATCATCAGCGATGTAAAGAACAAGATTTACAAGATGGATGATGTAAGTTGGCTCATATAGAAACCATGATTCTAGACGTATGTTCTTTGGGTTAAATAGATCTAGGACGATCAATGAGACTCTTATTACTAGATTCGGGATTCACGGCCGACGGAAGATGATAGAATGATTTATTCTGCCTTACTTATGCAAAAGAAAGATCAGCAGTTTTAGCGGATCATCTTACATCTGTTTCAGCAGCACTGACCTTAGCTTCGTCGTCAAGGCCTCCTCAAGCTCCTGTAATTGGGGAGAACTTTTACAGCCCCACTTTTATACAGCCCGTGGTGCGACAACATCCATCTTTGGCGGAGAAATCGACAAAGGTCAAGGAAGTCTCTAAGGATTCCAGGGAAGTCCTTATGATTAGATCGATGGACACACTAGCCAGCGTCATTCGATCAGAACTTCACAAAGATACTCAGGCAGATCTAAGTTCGCGGGCCTACAAAGAGCAAGAGACAGGAAGATAGCCAGCTCTAGAGGTAAAGATTCTTTTAGAGTAGCCCATATGGCAACTATAGAGGAGGATCAGGAAGAGGCAGGACACCCAGAGGTTCCCCAATTATAGACGGCTGAAACACAGGTTCGGAGCGACTGGAGTCTTCCACCCCCAGCCGTTCCAGTACAACCAGCTCAAGTGGGTGGGCGCCTCCAACTACACTGGGAAAACTGGGAATACTGCAAGATCCTTACGTCTCCAACATTATTCAACACGGTTTGGTATCCCTCTACAGGACAAGCCTCCGCTGACAATCAAACCCCAAGTTCGATTTACAAGCAACAACTACCAAAGATAAAAGAGGCTGTCTCATCACTCCTATCCAAACAGGCCATAGAAGTAATAGATCAAGCAAACGTCGAACCAGGTTTCTACTCCCCAGTTTTCCTAGTTCCCAAGAAAAAACTCCACGGAGAAATACAGACTCATCTACAACATGAGCTTTTTCAACAAGAACTATCTACGCAAACCACCGAAGTTTAGCGATGATACATTTACCTCAGTTACGCCAGATGATTCGGTCCTATGGACTACATGGGCAGCATAGATCTACAGGATGCCTACTTGCACATCCCCATTCATCCCCGATTCCAGGAAATACCTACGATTTACTCTAGAAGGGCTACATTACCAGTGGAAAGTACTCCCATTCGAGATATCATCAGCCCCTGGCTATTCCGCGAGGATAACGAAACCGATTATCAAATTTCTACATCGTCAAGGGCTCACGCGAGTGCGTTTTACCCGACGACGGGATACAAGTAGATCAAGATCCACTGCGTCTCAAACTA